ACGACCCGTCCGACCAGAGGTCGCTCACAAGCAGGTAGGGGGAATGAGACACCTGCATATCCCTAGATAACAGCCTATCACCTACCCACCACATCCCAGAAACTAACATCGCCCTCGCCCAGCACCCAGAAAATGTGATCCTGGGCGCGCCTACCATCTAGTAAGGCGCCGCCACTGCCTACTATCATGATCAACAGCCGTCACCCAACAAGGGTGGTTGGCACGTCTAGGGCAGTACTTTCCGCGAAGGTACTGAGCCCAAAGCGACTTTCCTTCCCTGAAGCGCCACCACAACTTGTATGAGAAGGCTGTAACAATGTCCCTGAGGCGGCGGATGCCAAGTCCACCCTCGGGGAGGGGACGACAGATGGAGTCCCAACTCACCCAGTGGGTACGTCTCCCCCTTCCAGAATCGTCCTCGTAACCCTAAAAATAACGAGCCATAATCTGGTCTATCTCGTCAAGAGTAGACCTAGGGGGGTCGAGGACCATAAGCAAGTGAATCAGAAGAGAGCTAAGAGTGCTCTTGATCAGCGCAAGCCGACCACCGAAAGAAAGATGTCTATGCGACCAACCAGAGATCCTGTCGATCATCCTCTGCCTGACGCCCGCAAAGAGCGCTCTCGTGAGGTTGCCCTTATATAAAAGGGCGCCAAGGTAGGTAATCCGAAGGTCACCACGCGCAAAGCCAGTAATGTCGTGGACCCGCTGAGCCCACCTGGCCATGCTGGAAGAGGAGAAGGTGAATGTGCTCTTCTGCATACTGACCAGCTGACCGGTAACTGAGCCATAGTGCTCCAAAAGGCGCATGAGCTTGACCAGTCCATCATCATCCACCCGGGTGAAGATGATGATGTCATCCGCGTAACAGAGGTGAGAGATGGGAGGACCATACCCACGGGTGCTATACGTCATATGAAGAAAGTCGCGGATGAAACGTCAAGGTAGCGAGAGAGGTAGTCCGCCGCAAGGACGAAAAGAGAGGGGGACAGGGGGTCCCCCTGTCTAAGGCCTCTAGATGAGGGAAAGAAATATGTGGGGCTGCCATTGACCAGGACCAAGAACGTGCAGTGCTCCACACACGCCTCGAAAAAACTGATCCAACGGTCAGGGAATCCCATCCTAGCCAGAGCCTCCCTAAGAAAAGGCCACTCTACCCTATCATACGCCTTAGCCATATCTAGCTTCAGCGCGATATTCGAAGCCCGCTTTCAGTCCGCACGGGAGATGTCGTGGATCATCTCCTGGGCCAAAAGGATGTTATCACTAATGACCCGATCCTTGACGAATCCACTCTGGTTCGGAGAGATGAGGGAGGGGAGAAGAGGGGAATGACGACCGTTAAGGATCTTCGAAATGAGCTTGTTGGTCACGTTACACAGGCTGATGGGCCTGTAGTCGGACCAAGAGCATGGGTTGGGTCTTTTGGGGATCAAGACGACAGAGGTAAACGTGAAGGAATCCGACATCCGGAGAAAAAATCCGACATCGCCTCCTCGACGTCAGTCTCGACTCGATCCCAGCTGACCTGATAGAAGAGGCAGGAGAAACCATCCGAGCTAGAAATGCTGTTGGGATCAATCCCGAATACAGCATCCCTAACCTCCTCCCTACTCGGGAGCTCACAGAGGCCAATGAGATCGACCGAATGAGGGATGGTGGGGAAAAGAGAAGTGGTCGGGGCCACAAGGGACCCTTTGCCAGAGGTGAAGAGGGTCTGGAAGTGAGCAACAGCCGACTCCCGAATCTGAGCCTCCTGGGTCAAGGATGACCCATCAGCCTCGATACTATGGATGTACGACTTAGCACGCTTCTGCCTAACGTAGCCCTGGAAGAACCTAGTATTCCGCTCGCCCTCGGTCACCCAGCGAACGACCGCCTTCTGCTTCCAGAAGTCCTCCTCCATAAGGAGTCGGAGCTGGTACTCGGCGTGGCAACGGTGCATGGCAGTCCCATTCTCCGGAGTGGGGTCCAGGTCATAGGCCCGCTCAGCCGTCGCGTGCGCACTCTGAGCCGCAGCCAGGAGCTGATGAAGGGTTCCAAAAACATCCCAGTTCCACTGTCTCAATCGACGCTGCAGTCTGTCGAGCTTCGCCTCGAGATTGCGCATCCCGAATAGCCCAGTCAGCTGAAGCTAGGAATCCCTGATAGTGTCGTGGAAGGAGTGGTGGCGAACCCACATGTTCTGGAACCTAAATGAAGTGCGGCGGGGGGTGCTCAAAAATCGGCACCGGATGAGAAGGGGTGAATGGTCAGACCCAAATCGAGTAAGGTGTGTGACGGTCGTAACCGCAAACACCTTCGCCCATGCCTCAGAAACCAAGGCACGGTCTAACCTCTCTTTGAGTCCGTCCCTCACCCACGTGAAGGGCTCACCATCACATCCAGCGTCAATTAACTCGCAGTCCGCCACCGCCTAAGCAAAATCCCACATCTCCCGTGACCGATCCGTACAGCCACCCACACGCTCATCGGGATGCAGAAAGATGTTGAAATCGCCACTAACCATCCATGGCAATCCCTCCATACTCTCGGCAATCTCACGCAGAGTGTCCCAAAGGTCATATCGCCCGACCCTAGTACACTTGGCATAAACAAAGGTGTGAAAGATGGGCTCTGGGAGGTGGGCAGCGGAAAGCTCAACGTGAAGCACCTGATCAGTGTCGCGGAGGACCCGACAAGTGTAGTTACACGAGTGGAAGAACCAGATCTTATGCGAAATATTACCCACGCCCGAGTGGAAGCCAAGACGACGCGAGTAGTAGTCAAAAGAAGGTGTGCGAATCATCGGCTCAATAAAGCCAACAAAATCGACTCTGTGATCACGAATGAGAGAATGAAGGTGAGAGAGAGTAGCCCCATTCGCCAGGCCACGGCCATTCCAAGTAATGGATCTGATGGACATATCAACTGTCGCAAGAGCCACCGGACGTAGTCCGCCTATGGCGAGGCTGAGTCGGGCCACCTAAAGAAGGCATGCGGCGGAAGGATCCAATAGCAGGGGGGATTGTCCGTCGTGTCGTGCGCTGCGTGGCTCTGGTCCTCGTGGACTGTCTGCTTCGGTATGTGCTCGTGGCCTGTGAGTCGTCTGGCTGGGCAGATTGACCTATAGCAGCACTAGTAGGTTGCCCCATCTCCAGGGCTAGCTCATGTCTGTCAAAGTGAAGAAATGCACTAGAGGCGAAGCTCTCGCATGAGACGTCATGCTGAGCACGGTTAAGCCCGCATACCTGCTCGGGGATAGGTGAAAGAGAGGATCCAGCAGGCGGAGCACTCGGGTGCTCGCCGCCAGGAAGAGGCTGGGAGCTGGCTATATGATCGGCCGAGCTCCTAATCTCAGCAGGGAGGGGATGGACCGACTCATCCCCTTTTGGGGGAGCGGTGACGGCAGTAGCCCTCAAATCCAAAGATCGGACCGGGCTAGATGCGCGCACAGTCAAAGGAGCAGCGTTGCGTGCACTGTCATCAGGTAAATGGATGGGCTCGCCCCTGGGCGAGGCATCCGGCTGGTCCATATCGTCGACAAGGAGATCGTCATCGTCAAGGAGCGTGAGGTGAGTAATCCTAGGTGGGCCACTGGTGGAAGTCGTTGCCTCATTCTCTGCCTGAGGGGAGAGAACCGCAAAATACGAGTGGTTGGCCTTGAAGGCCGACTAGAGAGTCTGTCTAGGAAGAAAGCCCATGGACTTGGGCTTTGGCCCAACTATGGCCAACTGCTTAGGCTGGTTAGGGTGAGTATCCTTCCCAGTTTGGGCAGTGGCGTCAATCACAGCCTTTTCCTTGTCCTTAGACCCTTTTGGGATCTCGGGCGCACGGAGAGGGCTTTTGCCCTTTTTCTTGGGGTCCCTCCTGCCGTTGGAGGTCCCTGGCTGAGCCGCACGATGGCGCTGTGCGAGAGTGGGCCGTGGCTTATTGCCACTAATGTAGCAATCAGCCGCAATATGACCCACAAACGCGGGGATCTTCTCATAGATCACCCGCTAAACAAGGGACTCCGAGCTCTGTTCAATCTCAATCTCATGGACGAGCTCAGCTCTCAGACCTATCTCGACCCAAAATCGCGCCACCTTAGCCCTCGTCTGAAGGGCCGTCGGGGCGTCGATACGAATCGGCTGCCCAATACACTTAGCAAGCGTAGTGATGGCAGCACAGTCGTAAAGGTGGGGTGGAAGGCCGGCAAGACGGCACCACACGGGGACAACCGGCGTCTCCGTCTTCGGGTTAAACCCAACAAAATATTTGATCCACACAAATGAATCGAGGTCTTAAGCCAGACCTCGTTATAGTCCTCGGGGAGGTGGAAAGACACTAGAAGGTGGTTGAAATTGTACCACTTCGATGAAACTCTACCCTTAAAACCCAATTTGCCTAATCCAGCAGAAATATATCTCGAGGGGCAGGGATAGCGTATGAAAACTTAAAGACCAGGGTGTTAGCTAGCTTACTTGCAAGAGCGATAGATTCGGCTTCAGTGTATCGGGCCTTCACCTTGTTTCCCTCCGAGTGGATGATGGTTCTGCAGGCATGTTTGTATCCCCCATCAAAGGTGAAATCCTTGGGTGTCTGTCGCGGGGTGCCCGGGCCACCATCTCTCTTCCCGATAATAGCTTCTCGGAATGATAGTGAGCCAGAGAAGGTGTTCGGGATAGACCCGGTTGCAGCGGTGTTAGCCGTGGTGGGGCCCGTCGGCGGAGTCCCGATCGGTTGAGGTCCGAAAAATTGGGCCGCGGACATCGTGTTTAGGCAATCAACAACCACCCCGTCCTCCCGCACATATAAGACGGTCGGTTCAGAGTCTCCATCGGCAGGGGGAGATAATCCGGCGAGTTTCTTGGTCGGAGACAATGAAAGGGTCGGGGACCAAGAATTCCTTTCGAAATACCCGCTTTCGAGACCGCAGCGGCTCGGGCTCCGATTGACTGTTTTCCGACTGGCCTGCCGGAACCGGCGCCGGCGCCGATCAAGGGGGGATCGATTTCTGCTGCGGGGCTGCTGGTCCGATGGCATGGAGCAGGCTGGAAGGTTGGCTGAGAGGGGACGGGTTGGGTGGTAGTGGGTTTAATGTTGGTGGGCTGGGGGTTGGATGGGTTGACGGGCTGGGAGTTGTATTGTTTGGGATGTGGCCTGAAGTGGCCCGAAAAGAGGAAGGCCTAAATATGGGCTCAGTTGTTGTGGGTTGTGCTGGGTGATTAAGACCTCAGAAGGGTTAGGGCCAAACAAGGTTGAAGAGGGGCTGTGGGCAGTAGGTAGATTCTGGCCCGAGAGGGATAAGCTAGGGTTGGGCCGAGAGAGGGTTTTATGGTGTGAAGGGTTTGACCCAAGGAGTAGGCCATTATGTGCTAAATGATTGGGCTCGGGTAAATATAAGCAATTTTGGCCCAAATTACCACCATGTCTTGGATTGCCTCCAAACCCTATCCTTTCGCCGTCATTCAATTGTTGAGGAGGGGGAAGAGATGCCTGCCCATTCAACGTGGCGACTGAGGTCAATTTTTCGGGCAAAGTGAGCTTCGACTGCGGAACACACGCCCCGGCGAGGAGAGGGTCCGTAACCCGGCTTCGATCAACGTGAACATCCGAACTCTTGGTTACATGAGGCTAAGCTTGCCGAGTTTTAATAGCCTGACCTTGGTTGTTGGGAGCACTCGGGACCTCGGTAACAGAAAGTTTGGCGAGGTGAGATTCAGCAACCAAACGTTGGTCGACGGAGACACTCGAATTTTCGATTTCTGAAGATGGGATTTCCCCTTCTTCAAGGCGAGAATTTCTGTCCAGTAATTCCTTTATAAATTGATGTAACTCTGGACGCGAAATGAGTTGAAAAACCTCCGGCGAGAGGCTGACCGGAGATTGGGTGGGTGGTGACGGGGTAATCGGCAAAAGGGAGGGTTAGGATCCATGACGGAGACTGACGGAAATAACTGTAAAATGAAAAAGCGAGAAGAGGAAAAAAATCCCCGATGGCCGGGGAGGCCCCGGAGGCCGCCTCCGGCGGCGGTCGGTGGTGTTGGCTAGGCGGGGTTAGATGCCGACGGGGAAAATGGGTGGTGTTTGAGGGTGAAAGGTGGGAAGGGAAATTCTATGAGAGCCCAAAATATCAACGAACAAGATACAATAGTCTACAGAGTCTCAATAATCAAAATAAAAAACAAAAGAAAAAAACAAAAAAGAAAAGCCGAAAGACGAAAAAGAAAAATAAACAAAAACTACAATACAAAGTCGATCTTCGGGCTAACAGGTGCCCGAAATAAATGTCTATACTAATGAAAGTAGAAATCCTAAACTAGTGAAAGCGGAACGCTGGATGTCCAAGCTGGTCCATCCGTACAAGAGTGCGAAGTCGGAGTGGAGCAGTGTCGGTCTGAAATGTATGTGTGTCTGGTATGGTGGCGCCAAGGCTGGCCAGATAGTCAGCAGGTCTGTTCCCCTCACGAAAAATGTGCGTGATGGGTCTACTTCTGGATCTGGAGTAAACCGGTGGTTGTGAGCTCAGATCTGCTTGAACCGTCTTTAAACCGTTGCTAGACCGTAAGAATACCTGCAAAAACTCAACGCCGGAGGTGTTTCCGGCGTAGAGCCTCCGACGCTCAAGTCAGTATAAGAGTGATGAAGAGGGGCTGCGCAGCAGCTATGGGGGAGAGTGGGAGTGAATGAGAGTTAGGGTTTTAGGGTTACCTCACCTCCTTTATATAGGAGTGAATATTTACCTGGAGTACCCAGAATGTCCCAGTCGGTGGACCTAGAAGGTCCAAAATGCCCCGGTCGATCCGTCTTCCCCCATTGCTGAGTCATCACAAGATCCCTTCTTATCCTTTGTGGTATATGGAACTTCAAGTATGGTGCAAGTGTGATGAGTCGTCATCACATCTGTGCTAGTCGAGGTATGCGAGGTCGACTTCGAAAGATAGGATGTCGACTCGTGGATATGCGAGGATTCGGAGGCTACGCTTGACTAATCCTTAGTGGCGAGGTCATCTTGGTTCAGTCGACTGTCGGAAGTCGACTTAGGGTATCAGGATGCGTGGGCGCTGTACTCTTGCTGTTACTCCTTCATTGGTGCCGACTAGTGAAAGTCGATGTATTGAAGTCGACTTACAAGTTGTCGACTAGACCAATTTCTGCTTCTTCTTAATTGCTCTTGGCAGAACCGACCCTAGGGAAGTCAATTTGGGCATGTCGACGGAGTCATGTCGACTGCGGGTAGTTTAAGTGGTTCACTGGTTAAGTAAGGAGCTTCTGGATCGGGTTATCCTTATGTGGCTATATCATCTAGTCCCCCCCAAAAAATTACTCTAAGCAGTCGACTGCTTAAGAGTAAATTTGGTGAAGTATAATTGTGTCGCCGTCCTACCAATCTCGCTCGTATTGGCCTTATTTACAACTCGTCTCGTCAATCAATTGGGACGCATCTCAAGCTCATGATTGCCTTTTCGGATAAGTCTGACACTCTGACAGACCTATTTCAAATTTCAAATTTTTGGAAACCCTAAAATAACGCGCGTCATCTCCTTCGCCTCCTCTTCGAATTCCGCGCCTCATCAGGATCGTTGGTTCTCTTGGTGATCCGACGGTCCACGCCCAACATTGCCTTATATAAATATTCCTTCATTTCTCAGGAAATCACTTTTCGCATTCCTGAACCTTCTTATTCTCTCAAACTTCCTCAAGCATCTCCGGCGGTCTTTGCTCTTCGGCTTCACCGGCACTCCTCTTTTCCGGCGTTTTGCAGTTCAAATCAGTCACTCCATCATGTGTAAGTTCTTCATTCTCCTTTACTTTTCGTGTTTTTGTTGGTTTTTCCTTTTTCAATTTTTTCTGGATTCTGGGAATTTTCGTGTGTTCTTCATGTTCTTCTCGGATTTCTTGCGAGTTTCGCGTTGAATCCTTTCACGCTCATATTCTATTAGGACTTAATGTTTTTTGCCAGTCGTCGGCTGCCGATGAGCGGTCGACTGCCGCCTGTCGCTAAGTTGGCTATTGTTGACTTAGTGGCCTTCCTTCTTCAGTTCTCTTTCCGAGTCGACTAAGGTCGACTCATTAGTTTATTTAGGTCGAGATACCTATAGCAATTGCCCCTTCCTCGTCCTTTCTTCTTCTGTCGATTATTGCGAGTCGCCCTGATTCGATCTTGTAGGCCCTTACTCGTGATTTTACTAACTTCGACCTTCTCCTCCTTTTTCTTTTTCTTTAGCTTCCGACTCGTCTCCTCTCTCTGGCTCCCTCGGTCAGCAGATCAACGATTATATACTTGTCAAGCCGACGAGGGTTCTAGCTCTGACGGTGTCGAGGTAACTGGCTATAAGATGGTTTCACCGCCTTCTCATTCTTTTCCTCCTCTCGCCACTGTCTCTTCTGCCGACTGGGAGCAGTATGACCAAGCGCTCTTGGAGGGCGGTTTAGTCGACATCGTTAAGAGCCCTTCTCGAGGGAATCCTCCTCGTCTTGATCTTATTCCTCGAGGTATTCCTCTTAGGTTATTAGATATCCCTGTTTATAGAACCAGCCCTGTATCTGTACCAATAATTGTTCCACTTCTTAATTCTCAAAATGTTGTATCAATAGCTTGTCCCTTAGTTAGGTTAGCTGTTTTAAATCTTTTTTGTTATGCCTCTGCAGCCGAGGTCGAGGGCTTCAGGAAGTTTAGCGGGCTTCCTTCCGACTGGGAGTTAGTCGCCCCAGGTCCTAATGACGATTTTGCTCATCCTCCTCCTGGTTGCCATACATTTTTTGTAGACCAAGTCGTCTTCGGCCTTCGCTTCCCTATCCAAGACGAACTCTTGTTAATAAGTAACATGTATAATATCCCCATAAACCAATTCTCTCCGAATGCTATCCGCATTATAATAGCCTTTATAGTCGTCTCCCGAATAACACTCAATTTCTTTTCGCCCAACTTTTTCTTCTACTGCTATGGCTATCGACTTTTCAAAGGCGCTCACTGCCTGGGTCGTCGGGCCGGCGTCACCTTTCTTGACGATCTTTCATCAAATGTCACCGAGTGGAAGTCGAAGTTCGTTTTCATTCGACCTGCTCCTGGCACTTATCCCTTTGTGAATAAATGGATCACCTCGAAGGTGAAGCAGAATAAACGGCCCCGTTCTGACGAGTTCGCTGCTCTACTGGCGGAGCTTAATAAGCATACGTATAGCGCTCGTCAGTTAATAAAGGACCGTGAATTGGTTAATCACGCTCGCATCGTCATCTACGAGGACCTTCCTCGTCTTGATGACCCCCGTAAGCTTTTACTTGAATATCTGTTTGTAAAACTTCGATCATTCGAATCATGACTACCAGGTGCTCTTCATTTACTAACTTCTCCCCTACTTTTTCAGTTAAAGCGCTCAAACGCTTTGAGCTCAAGAAGGGCCAGTCGTCTGGTCAGCCTGCCGGTGGTCCTGTCATTCCGCCTCGACCCTTCGGCGGGTCTGGGTCGAGGCCCGCTGCTGCAGCTGCCGAGGCGACTGCTGCTAAAAAATCCAGGGTCGAGAACCCTGGTTCCTCACAACCCAAATCGTCAGGCCCTTCCTCTCGCAAGAGGGCCCAGGACGATCGGGCCGCCATCCTTATTCCCGACGACCTTAAGCGCCGCAAGGTCGACAAGGGGAAGGGAAAGGCGGTCGAGAAGATAGGCCCTTCCCCCATCACCGTCAAAGATGTGACGGTTAAGATGCCATCTCGGCTCTGGAATCATCCGGAGCCGTACAATGTGGCCAAGTACTTCAATTCCCTCATCCCCGAGGTCGACAAGGAGCGAGTCGAGGGGAACTTGTATGAGCGCTCCAATTACGCTATTCAGTGTCTCACCCGGGTATTTTTTCCCTTCTCTCATCGACTTGGCTTTTGTGTTTTTTTCTCTAAACTCAATTCATCTTTTCCTTAACCTGTTTTTCATATTCTTTCGCAGTTCCTGGCTGCCGCGCTCCCCTGCTTTGAGGAGACGAGCAAGTAGCTTGACCCACGGAGAGTAGCATGAACACAAAAGTAGCATGAACACAAAAGAGCTGAAATTCCTGAATTAACTCCTTAATTCAGGAACCCACATATCATGAGAATATCTAGCAAGTAGCATGAATCTAGTATTAAGTGAATAGCGAGTAAACCTATTTCGATTACAAGTCCATACATGTAAAATCCTTTCGACATCCAATTTCCCGATTAAATCTTGGGTATGATTTTGTCAAAACC